GTAAGGAAGTCTCCTGGTTAGGGTTTTCATACCCTCATGCCGGGCCTGAGTTTGACCACCCTTTACTTTTATTCACTCAACGCTCGCCTCCACGAACAGCGCCTATCATGACAATCTACTTGATGGCATGCGTAGCACATGCTTTAACCAAACTAGTCTATGAAGAGCGACCACTTGCTTCAGTGGGCGATCTCGAATACCTACCTGAGCCTAAGATCAGTATTGCTTGCCCGGTTTCCCCACAGCGAGACTGCACCTTGACGTGGTGTGATCGCTTGGGCACCTCTCTGACCCAACGAGCTACGCTGGAGGGCTTGTCAAGCCGAAGATCCAATCATGTCTGGAAGGTCGAAGGGTAGAGGTCGGACAAAGTCGTCTCCTGGCCCTCCAGGTTGCGGGTTCGACTAGTATTTGCGTTTCAGTCGGTAAAAAAATAGTGGAAGAGTAATTGATCCAAGTAAATGGGCCTCCACTTCGCTTCACCCGCTGCCTTGCGGCTAGGTTCTTGTCGGAACTAAAGGCTTTGGTTGAGGACTCTAATCGTTCTCCTGCTCAGTGGCTGGACACCGTGGCAGTACCCGTCCATCAAACCCCAATGCATGTACTTTGCGAGTTTGACACCGATCAGCGAAGTTCGCTTCCTCGCATTTCGCTGTACGATGAGGATGATGATGATGGTGATGTAGAAAGCAAAATTCGTACACGGACAGTTTATTTTTATCCTATACCCGTAATGGCCAAGTCTCTGGGCAGTGGTGGAATTAGCCGAACTGCTACCTCGCACATTCGACCCTTCACGAAGTAAAATAGAAAACGGAGAGAGAGGGCAACCCTGATGAACGTTAAGCTCACACTCGGTTTCGGCTGTTAGTATAAAGAGATCGCAGAACTGAAATGAACCTTTTGGACACCCTTCAAAAAGAGAGAGACGCAACACCAGAGTTCAAAGCGGTCGACTAAATCGAAAGCAGCTTTCAGGTCCAGGAAGATAGACGAAGACAAAAAGAATGTCTGCGTCCTAACATTTGACGAAGGTTGAAAATTATTTTACCTTTACTGCGGCTGGCTCCTTGAAAAGGATAAGCCGGTTCCAGACATAATCATGATCAAGAAGTTCCTTGGGAGCTTGGTACGACAGACGTCCCCGGCTTTTTCGTTTGGGGGTCGCACCTCTAGCCTTTGCACAGCCAAGTGTGAACTGCATAGCAGTAGGGAGTAATCCCTCGCCTCGGAACTGAGGGGGTCAATGACTTTAGTTTTAAAAGGCCAGTCACATCGACCTTTGTCGTCAGACCATCATTGGGCTTATGTGGCTTTTAAACGGGAACCAGGTGACCAGCCTGAAACCCACCACACCCTGGTAGTGCCACCGCTGTTTGTTCGCGACTGCTTATTTGTTGCGATATGCCACAACTTATCCACAGCTAACCTTCGGTGAAGGTATCCCCCTATCCACAACCCGGGGACGCGCCTGGTAGCGTTCAGCTCTGGTTAACCCGAGGGTTGAAAGTGTGATCCATACAACCTAAACCAGGTCTAAAACCATATTGATTCTCATGCGTGCACTCTTCACGTGCCTCAGATAAACAACCGAGTATTATTCCAACGAGAAGTTGAGAGACAATGTCTATCCAGCTAACTCCTCGCAAGGGGATCTGTCACCTTGCTCGTTAATCGACCAGATGAGTGATTCACACCATTGAGTTGGAATTTGCTATCTCTTCCTTACCGAGCCCAGGAGTCTTGTCAACTCCAAAACCAACGCTGAATGTCCATTCCTAAAATCCGATGGGGAAACTGCCTATACCAGAAGCCTTATTCAGTTCAGTTTTCAGTTTGAACAACCATTAACCATGCACTTTCGTGCGCCGGTTCTGGTTGCTGTCTTTT